GAAATCACCCCCCAGGGGGGATGGTCACGCCACAATCCCTTCTCCTCTCGGGATCTTGGGCACGCACGCACACACGCCTGGCGTGAGTTTTAAGTCAACCAGGTCCAGGATGTGAACCACGGTCGACTACGTGGGAGTCCAGCGACATAGCCATTACGCTAACTGCTGGTTCCTGAGACAGTACCATTCTAACTAAACTAAACTAACTAACTAAAGACAGCTTCTGATTCCCAAAGTCTAGGAAAATAAGGAATCCTAGATGATTTTTACAAATTAAATATTCATATAATGGAGTGACCAGCAGTTAGCATAATGGCTATGTCGCTGGACTCCTATGTAGTCGACCACAGTTCGAGTCTCGGACCTGGTGGCTTAAACTCACGCTGGGTGCATGTGCGTGCCCAAGATCCCGAGAGGAGAATGAAGGAGATATAATGAAGTAAATGACAGACTGAACCAACATGAAAGAAAACATAGCACTGCTGAAAATTTGTTTCAAAAATCAGTAATCTTTAATGAAGGAGACAAAAATATTAGTATTTTGAGTGAAAGGACTGGATTCTAATGGAAAACTTTCTCCTTTTATCCCTGATTTCAGCCAGAAACACAACATGGGTATGAACAGAAGATCACATTATACAGTTTATAACCATGCAAGGCTGTATCTTTTTTTTTTTTGGAGAGGTTTTTGCTCTAGGGCACATACGCTCACCAGAAAGAGAGAGACAGAGAGACGGAAAGCAAGAAATCACCCCCCCCGGGGGGGGGAATGGCCAGGCCGCGACCCCTTCTCCTCCATTCCTCTCTTGGGATCTTAGATCTTAGGTGGGCACGCATGCACACGTGCCCGGCGTGAGTTTAAACCACTGGGTCTGGGACTCAAACTGTGGTTGACTACATGGGAGTCCAGTGACATAGCCATTATGCCAACCGCTGGTCTCGCAAAGCTATATCTTGCATTAGAATGAAAACAAGTTAAATAGACCTGAATGACCCTCTAAACTCATCCATGAAAACACAAGAAAACAGAGTTTGCTCTGTTCCTCCCCACCGAATCCTCCAGTAACAGTTAAATAGCTATCCACTATCCACACAAAACTCAGGGGCTTACATTACTTAACACATCCCGAATGTGTAAGAGGACGATATTACCAGGTTGTCAGAAAAGTCAGGCCGCATTTTTGCATAGAAAACAGAGAAAAATATGTCATGACTTTCCTGACAACCTAACTGACTATCATGTCTAAGTATAAACAAGTAACCATTATCAAATTTTGTTCTGGTGAGAACATTTTCTGTTATTCCCAAATGAGGAACTATATTACTTTTTGAGGCACCTCTTGTCTCCATTTCTTTGAATGACAGCAAAGGTCACAGACAGGATGGCAGGACGGACCCTGAGCGCTGTGCACAGCCCAGAGGCATTTTACAAGCGAACCTCCCCCAGCAACAGCTATTCCCCTCCTCTTTGCAATCCGCATGCATCCCCTGTGGAAGGTCTCTGCAGATTACAAATCTCAGAAGTAACTGAGTCCATGTCATGAGATGCCAAAAGTTCCAAAAATACAGTTGTGATAGTGAGTGATTTCAGAAATGATTAAATATGGCTCTGGATATATATAAAAGTGTTCTTAACCCAAGAGTATGTCATATTTCTGATTTTTTTTTTTTAAAGAAGATTATGTCAAGAATAGCCATGAAACTGAAATTTATTTAAAATCAAAGCATTTAGGGGGCTGGCAGGTGGTGTTATGGTTAAGGGTGTTGGACTCCCATTAAGGCTGACTGTGGTTCAAGTCCCAGACCTGGTGGCTTGCTTTCTCACTTTCCCTCTTTCTTGCTCTGTCCCTATCTGGTCAAATTAAAATAAATAAAATAATTATTTTTAAAAAATCAAAGTGCTTAGTTAAATTTCCCCAAATTTAGAGACTCCATTATTTCTCCAGGGCTCAGCTTGGAATGGTTTCTCTATGATCTATGTAAGAAATGAATGTGCAGGGGCCGGCAGTTGGCATGGTGGTTAAAGGCTCTGGATTCCCACATGGCCGACCATGGTCCGAGTCCCAGATTTGGTGGCTTGCTCTCTCACTTTCCCTTCTTCTCTCTTTCTGTCTCTGTCTGGTCAAATTAAAAAATGATGATAACAAATGGAATTAAATAAATTTTAAAAAATAATAATAATAAAAAAGAAATGTGGAAGCCTCAATGACCACAAATAGCCCAGCTGAACTGGGAGAAACACATCTAAGGGTTTCCTGTATAGTAGAGGCACAGAATGCATACACGTTTTATATTCATATATATATATACACACACAAATATATATACAAATATATATATGTTCATACATATATATGTGTGTTTATACACACACACACACACACACACACACACACACATACAATGAAATATGGTATGGCCACAGTAGGGGATTTCCCCTAACTATCACAGAACAAATAACAGGATCACTTTAGGATCCGATAGACCTGGAATAAAACCCTGCCTTTGACATTATAAGACTCCTCTCACTTCATTTTAGTCTTGGCTCAAGTGTTACTGCCTCAGAAAAGATATATATATATTACTTATCATAAAAATATATATATACACACACACACACACACACACACACATACATATATATATATATGCATATGTATATATATTAATAAATAAATAAATATGCATTCAATTCAAGTGAAGCATATGTCATGCTGGTTGGAGCCGGGGCTTACGGTACCTTGATCAGACTCTCACTAATATGTGGCCCCAAAGCATGAGATAGCAATTCGTAAATCCAAGGCTGAGAATGACTTCAAGGTTAGGCAAGGCCTGGACACAGTAAGAGACTTAGGTAGGTCCTGCTCAGCTAGGGCCCTGGCTGCAGGCTCCCCCCAGCCCTGCTCCCTGTCTCTGCCTGTGGGACTGGGAGAACGGGAGTGGCATGGGTAATGGCGGCCCTTCCCTTCCCTACCCCTAGGACATAATGCTGGGCTGACGGGAGCCAGGATACCAGCTGCAGTCAGGGGAGCTACTCCCCCTATACCATCCAGCTCTCTAAGGTTTATTACAAGGCTAGGAGAGAAATAGAACTCTACGGTCATCACCTGGCCTTCTCACACTGATTAGCCACCTCTGTACACCAGTGCTGGTCCAGGCTTAGAATAGAAATGGAGCTAGCATTGCCCATAATCTGTCTGCAGCATCTCTCAGACAGTGCTGGGCATGACTCTCATGTAACCGCTCTAGCTAAAGAGTGAGCAGTGTGAGACTACTTGAAAACTCTCTGGACTAGCCTTATGGCCTGGCAGCCAAGGTGGCTGACCATGCAGTGTGACTCCTAGACCCAGAGGCTTGAGAAACTTGCTGGATACATATGCATATGAGCCCAATCCCAAAAGGAAGGAAAGATGGAAGAGAAGGGGACTGCAGCATGGCATCATCCCCCCAGGAGTGCTTTCTCACTTTCTCTCTCTGTCTCTCTCCAGCAACAACCAAAAAACAAACCAAAAAATGAATCATCATCAGAGACCTGGGCCGGTTCCATATCGCAATGCTAACGTGCTGCTCAAGAGAAGCTGAATCCAACATGGAGACCATGGTTCAAATCCCTGGTCGGGTCGGCCTGAATCACACCAGGCACATGTGTGAGTGAGATCAGATGGACTGGAGGACTGGAATCAGGGCATTACTCAACCCTGTGAAGGTTTTCCTTCTCTCTCTCTCATGCACATAATCTATGATGAGTAGGGGAAAAAAAAAAAAAAACATACAAAAACCAGAGACCTGTAACTTAAGATATTCAACTTCTACCATGTAAAGATGTCTGAACAAAGATATATTTTAGACAAAAGCAAGGTGTACGATTCTGTGTATGGTAGTCTCTGGAAGAATGCACAAGAAAACTAGTGTTACAGTGCTTTGACTCTGGGAGAGGAACCAGGTTGTGTAAGACAGAAAAGGGAAGCTTTCTGCCGCACGTGCTTTTGAATTCTGTACAACTTATCAAATATAAATTCTTATAATTAAGAAGACAAGTAAAGAACAGAGAATTACCCAATTATCTTAAAGAGACCTAATGAAATTTATGATTCAGCATTAATTGGCCTGACAGAACTGAACATAATTAATTTTAATAAAAGAAGGAACATATAACCCATAAACATGCTTGCATACTTTCTTTTGACTTTATACCATGGGCAACTATAAATATGTGATTGTTAGTGTCTGGGAGAAGTTTCTGCAGGATGGATGACAAATGGTAATCAAGTCAGCTGCTGAAGTGCAGTGGTGATGCAAATCTCTGTGATGTTGAAACAATATAGGAAGGTTCCAGGCTCACATCTCAAAGTCTCTCTGTACACATGTGTAAATGTGCCTGTGATCCCGGCTGGCTGAGTCTAGGGATGGACTGTGGCATGGAAGATCCACTGGGGGTGTTTATCTCTCTTCTCCTCTTTCTCTCATGCAAGAAATAAACTTTAAAAATATACTGATATATACATACACACACACAATTACAAAGCCCAACTTCCCATCCCTTTGAAATTCAGCTCCCTGGGAGCAGTCTTTCACAACAGACCTACAAGTTTACCTGGCTGAGAAAAGAGAAGTTCTGACAGATGCTGTGCAAGTGCCTGAAGGGCTGGCGCTCCTCCCAGATGGTCCACGTCCAGGAGGGACACCAGACTCTGGAGACACACGAGGGCTCTACACTGTACAGTGTTCATTCTGGAAGGGAAGTGAAACAAGGCTATTCATCTGACAGGTACCCATCAGGTCTCGGCACTAACTCCTACCCTAAGCTCCACGTTCTAACTGGAAATATCCATAAGTAGGAAGGGGCCTCTGGCCATGAGCAAAGACTCACAAGGGGAACTGATAATCTGCCCCATTGAACTGCTTGAGCACCCAATGCCCCAGTGCACAACTCATTCATGAGTCATGAGGAAAAATTCCTGTGTGAGGTAGAGTCTTTACTTTTAATAATGAAATATGACATATGTACGATTAAGTGCACAACATATAGAGAGAGTTTAACAAAGTTTGTAAAGCAAACACCCATGCACCTGAGAGGAAATAAACACGGCCGGCATCTTTGGTGTCCACACATCCCCTTCCTTACCACGTCTTCCCTCCCTGACCCCTAGAGCTAACCGCTCCTCAGACTTCTGTAGACATTTCCTGGCTTTCCTTCACAGGTTTACTACCTACCTCTGCATCCCTAAAACCCCCAAAGAGTCACCTGTTTTTGAACTCTGTAAAAACTGAACCAGTGTGTACACTGTTGCTTTTTCTGTTTAACGTGGTAAGTTGCATCCATGCTGTGGGAGCTCCTGTTCCTATCTTCTCTACTCCTATGTACTCAACTGTATGACTACGTCCAAATGTACTCATTCAGGATGCCTCCGATGGACACAGGGGTGACCCGAGGTTAGGGCAGCTGTGAGTCCCATCACTAGGAATATTCTCAGGTGTGCATCCCAGCACACATGTGCACGCCTTTCTCCAGGATACACATAAAGAACGGAACGTCTGAGTCTTGGGGAGTCAGCATCTTCTACTTAGAGATCCATCATCTCACATTAAACATAACGACAAATGTTGTGGAAAACAGAAAACGTCTTACTTTCTAATCAAAGGTTTCCAAGTGGGGTTCCTGGAACATACATCCACCGCAATGCTGTTTGGAAAGGCAGTTTTGGCAAAAATCTAGATTTTAAAAAGGCAGAGAGGGAGGAGTTAAAAGAGTGGCATCTGTACACAAGTCCTATCGACAATTCCAACGCATCGCCTCTACATGAAATGCGTGGGCTGGATGAAGATAGAATGACCGTGTAGCCTACTCCAGCACTGCTAGTTCTGTTCTGTGTTCCAGCTCTTACCAACACCTACAACTTGGGGGTGTGAGCTTAGTTCTCCTGCATACGGACTGCACAGCTTTCTCAAGCCTTTTTTGTGTTCCACCATGAACCTATGAGTGAAAACAGATTACCTTCTTTGGGATGAGGTAGTTGGTGAGGGCGCTGTGGATTTCATGGGAGAGGCACAGGGGAGAGAGCAGCTGCCCACCGCAGTCGCTGAAGGAACTTTCCATAAATGCATCACTTTCATCACTGCTGGAAAGCTCTTCCCATTCGTCATCGGAGGGGTCTGGGAGGAACGCAAACCACACAAAACCAGAATGGTTAGGATGAGCGCCAAGGAAGCTGGCCTCACAGACCAAGGGAAAACACCCAGAAGTCAAGCGGTAACATACCTTCGCTGCAGCACATGTTCACAATAATTTCCAGAGCAGTCTGCTGAGCAGTCAGCAATGCTATGGTCTCTCTTAGCTCCTTGTCAGTGGACTTCAAAAAAAAGGAGGGGGGGGGGGGGGAAAAAAACAACTCAATGTTTGGAAGGTTTTTTTTCTTTAGTTTTGTTTTTGCTTTTGTTTTGTTTTTGCCATAGGGTGCATGTGCTCATCAGAGAGACAAAGAGACAGAAAGTGAGAAATGCCTCCCATGGCGGGGAGGAGTGTAATCCCTTCACCTCTGTGCTGTAATCCCTTCTCTTCCATTCTCCTCTTGGGATTCTGGGCACGCACATACATGCATCCAGTGTTTCAAGCTGCTGAGTCTGACTCGAACACAGTCAGCCATGTGGGAGTCCAGCACCTTAGCCGCCACGCCACCTGCTAGCCTCTGGAAAAGTACTTTTACATTTATTTCTTTAGTTAAAGCCCACTGGAAGATCTCTGCACTCACAATAAAGCACGGTGGGTGGGTGGGGTAGGTGGAAGTCTTATGCTAGAAGTACAAACAAGCCTTACGATCGCTCATGGTCTGGGGCCTTAAGTCACTGTTACCTGGCTTTCTATCGATCTGCCTGGGTATTTTCTGAGTGTTGGTTCGTTAGCTGGAGAGAACAGAGAGAGATTCAGGAACCCTGAACTGAATTCCCCCTGAAACTTAATCTAGTCTGTTAAAGAGTAGCTCAGCACACTAAGATTAATATAAGACCTCATTTCAGAAACCAGGCACTTACCCACGACACTCCTGCTTTTAGAGGCACAGCACTCTTGGAAAGGCTGTATTACCAAACACTACTACCCAGCCCTTATATGATTAACAGAGCTTGGCGAAGGTACAGATTGGCTTGCATCCTTGCCTTTGTCTGAGTACTATAAAACACAGCATTTCTTTAAGGCGAGTGAAAGAGAGGGCATTTTTCTCGGAAAATATAAAACTTGAACTTAATTTTATCAATGAACACTTCTTAAAACTGGTGGCAGAAATGTATACAACCAGGGCCAGCAGGTGACATAGTGGTTAAGGTGCCGGACTCCCATATTATTGACCATGGTTCAAGTCCCAGACCTGGTGGCTTGAAACTCACACCGGGTATGTGTGCGTGCAGGCCTAAAATCTCAAGAGCAGAAAGGAAAAGAAACCATGCTGTGGCCTTCGCTGTAAGGGGCCATCGCTGTCATTCTCTGTCTCTCTGGTGAGTGTGCGCACCCTATGGCGAAAATCTTTACAAATAAATAAATAATTAAAAAAATAAACAGCAGAGAGAGAGGGGTCTGAAATAATACAGACTGATGTAAAAATGGGTAACAGTGGAAGCTGGACAGGGGAACTCTACTTTTGTATATATTTTTTAAAAACGGGTTGAACTGCTCTTTTTTCTACATATTTGTGGCTATACCTTCCTAAACTCAATGATGCAATTAAGGGATTTACTTCTTAAGGACTCCTGCAAAAGCCAGCCATAGTGTGAAAGACCACAGCTGCCCACAATCTGTACTCCCGGTACATCTGACCATGATGCTCCGCACTCTAGTGGTGCTTTGACATCAACCGACCAAATGACCAGCATGTTAGCCATCCAGTCTACTCGGTTATGTTAAGATGACTTAAAAAAAGCAAATTTTTTTTTTTTTTTACACGAGAACACTCCTCTTTATAATCACCAAAATTCAATTTTTTTTAGTAAAGCATATTTTCATTTTTTGGGGTAAAGAATTATTTAATTTATTTTAATTTGACCAGAGAGAGAGAGAGAAAGCGAGACAGAGAGAGAGAGAGATTAAAATGAGAAAGCAAGCCTGCACGTCTGGGACTCTAACCATGGTTAGCCGTGTGGGAGTCCAGTACCTTTACTCACTGCGCCACCTGCCAGCCACCCAAAATTCAACTTTAAAATAATGTTTTTAAAAATCTCCACATACGGGACCGGCATAATGGCTACATTGCTGGACTCCCAGGTAGCCGACCACGGTTCAAGTCCCGGATCCGTTGGCTTAAACTCACGCTGGGTGCGTGTGCCTACGTGCCCTAGATCCCAAGAGGAGAATGGAGGAAAAGGGATTGTGGCATGGCCATCTGCCTGGGGGTGATTTCTGTCTCTCTGTCACTCTCTTGTCTTTCTGTCAAGTACATGTACCCTATAGCAAAAAAACTCTCTAAAAACAAAATAAAATGAAACATCTCTACATGTCAGCTAAATATCAACAGTGATAAAACAAAATAGTAATACTTGGGGCCAGCAGGTGGGGTTGTGGTTAAAGCAATAAATTCCACATAGCTGACTAGTGGTTCAAGTTCCAGATCTGGCAGCTTAAATAAAACAACTGGGTTTGTACATGTGTGCCAAAATCCCAGGAGGAGAATGGAGGAGAAGGGATTGTGGCCTGGCCATCCTTGCTGGAGGGTGATTTCTCACTTTCTCCCTGTTTCTGTCTCCAGTGAGTGCGTGCACCCTAGGGAAAAATCTTAAACAACAACAAAGCAGTGATATCTGAATCTTAACCATGGTAGACGTGAGTATCGATTCCCGCTTACTCTCCTTAGGAAGCAAGGCTGGAGAAGAGGACTGTCACACACTGAGTCCATTCTTCATTCCCAGCAAGGGGCTGCGAGTCCTTCAGAGGTCTCTGCCAGCCTAACTGTAATTTCCATTTCTGCTCTGACAGGAATAAGAGTGGCAAAACACCTGCATCCTTGCATGCGTCAGGATAACCAGAGACCTGACTAGCGCAACACCGATAGCTGAAAGGAATGTGCAAACCCTGATTTATTGCACACCCCCCTGTCCACGCATGGATATGAAATCAAGCATATTCCAGATCTACAGCCTGATCTTCCTGTAGTAACTGAAGAGATGACACTGCAAGGGTTCTTTATCAATATCCCTTCTGGAGGACAAGACACACAGCTAAGCTTTCATTCATGTCACTTAACTGATGTTAAATTCTACTCGCACTGAGTCAAAGGCACAAGTGAGTCAAGGAGCAAATTTGAGGTTCAACTACTAGTCCCGTGCACTGAAAGGGAACGGTTATCATTCTTAATCTATGTCATGATTTGCATGTACCGCAAGGACTGGATAGCCTTCTCGGCTTTGTGTTCCACACTACACGCAACACAGGGCTTTGCACCTGTAGGTTGATCATACGGGGGGAGAGGTCGGAGGTACGACAGTTTGATTTCCTTCACACACCACCAATTTATGTTTCACAAGACTTCATAAAGGCAAGAAAGTAGTATACTTTCTTTTTATACTTTGTATTTATTTTCAGGTGTGTTCCATTTAAAGAATTCTTACTGGACATGAAATTACCAAAATTATCAGACACTGACTCTAGATAATTCTATCTCCATGTCACTTCTGGAACGGGAGGTCACCTCTGGGACCGAAGAAAGTGAGAGGACGTGAAGCGCACGCTCACAACTCAACATCCTCATTCTCCTCTAGTGGCCTTCCTGACCCAGGCCCCTTTTATTCTCCCTCCATCCAGCTGCCTGGCTGATCTCTCTAACAGCACTGACCGGCTTTTGCCATGCTATCAGATCATCAGAAAAGTCATGATGGGGTTCCGCTGCCTCTCCGGGGCTGGCGTGTGGCCTCCGGGCCTGTGCGTGGCTACCGGGCCTGCGCCT